TGGACGTCTTATTGTTTTACCGCTGGAGGAGCACTGGAAACCAGGAAACTTGTCGAGTCGTCAACTTTTTGCTGGCCATAGATAGGCCTAAATAAAATGTTTTTAATTGTGTACCAGTTTAACGTTGAAAATTATTTATGATTTTAACTTTATACACAAGTGCCAAAATACTATAATTATATCGTGTAATGTTGTTTTTTATAAAACCTAATTCGTTTCACTGTTTCCAAGAAAGACTCTTTTACGTTGGCGCTCAAGAGGGCCATCTACCGATATTATTTGGAATGATTCACTACAAGAGGTGTACACCAACGCCATCACTTATATTTACGGTAAGATTCTACTTAAAAATAAAATAAGACAAAAAAAATGCATTCAAGAACCTTGTTTAAAACAAACGGAACTGAAAATAAGTATAACATAAAATATTCAAAGCTCAAGAATTTGGTTGTTAAAGAAACCATATTATTATTAAACAGAGCCTCAGATATTTTCACTGTATTGTAAAACTATACAGTTTAGATAAAATATTACAAATGAAATAAAAATAACGTTTGTAACGAATTAAAGAATAAGATGGTTATTTATGAGCTTCATTAGTTTAATTAAAAATGTTTGTACTGATAAGATATTTTAAGGTATTTGTTTTTTGTTTAAATATAAACAAACAAATTGTACAATGGTCCATCAGAGCTGCGTATATCCCCTGATGAAATAATATAACATAAGCCCGTTGACAAATAGTTGTAATATTTTCTGTACCTGTTAGTCTGACCCATATATATATACTATTATATACAGCGTCACTGAACCCTTCCACCCTCACCTCCCCACCAACACTCATCCAACATAAAGGTTGTTAAACAGAATTATAAAGAATGATTAGACATGAGTGTATCCAGTGTGACTGAAAGAGGTAAAAAAGGATATCGTTCTTTTGAAAATTCCAAAAGACTGTTATGATATTTTTTTAGAAATACTCTATAGGTAGGTAGTGACTTTTTTCTCCAAAAAATTTTCTTCTCTTTTGTCATTTTAATTGACCGTTTACAAATATAAACAATGACCTAGATAGGCCGAATAGCCGTACATTGTATTGTTTGTTATTCGCGTTTTATTTTTTAATAATTTTGATTTTCAATAACATTAACTTGAAAATTTATTACAAAAAAAAATAATGTTCATTTCTAACACTTGAACAAATATAGGCTTAGGTTTTAGTACTTAAAATGGCAGAATTCCATTATCAATTTTACCTGTTCAACACATACCAGAAAAAAAAAAGAATATATATATATATATAAACACATACACACAGAGAGAGTATTTAAATACAATGTTGTGTTGGAAAATTGTGTTTTGACGATTTTGAAATTTGTCCCACACCTTTCAGTATTTATTTCAAACTATTTATTATTTTTCTATTTTCTTATAGTGTGCGCTTTCTCTGGTGATGTTGACAACTAGCGACATTTACACTTTAATTAACTACTTCAGCTTTATCCAATGGCTGTGGGTAGGCGTGGCCATCTTGGGAATGATGTATCTCCGTTGGAAAAAGCCCGATATGTCTCGACCAATCAAAGTTTCCCTAGCGTTTCCAGTTTCGTTTTTCCTGTGTTGCGTATTTCTCACCGTAATACCCATATATGCTCAGCCGGTGGAGACCGGGATAGGCCTATTGATCGTTCTGTCAGGTGTTCCAGTTTACCTTGCTCTAATTAAGAACAAGAAGATATCTCCTGCTGTCTCTTCCATATCAGGTGCTAATTCATTATAACAATCAACTGTTACCTGTTAGCAAACGTTTTAGCTAGCCCTTACAAATTTAACTTGGCAGATGGATGGTTAAAAGTTGGACACTTAGTCTGTATTTTGTTACGAAATTCTTGTGTGTATTTTTAGATGTGTTTATTGTCATTCATAAAAAAGCATGTCCCGAAAAACTTGCATGAAATCATTAATCTCGAATATATATTTTCCTATCTATTTTTGATGTTTCTGTTTGAACTTAAGGTAACGAAAAACTAAATATTATAGTATATACAAGAAGTTGTTGTTTTTTTTTCATTTTTAACTCGTAAGGTTTAATTACACCGATTAGAGGGTGCTACTATAGCGTGAGGTCTACCACACTATAGGGTAAGGTCTACCGATGCATTATCCATCCCTCATGGATATCACACATTTCCATACATTTATTTTAGCGATAAACACTTAATTTGTACATATCCTAGGAATGACTTAAATAGATAATTGGTTTTCTAATTAAATTTATATTAAAGGAAGAAAAATAAACATGTTGATCTATTTGTGTCATTTTTAGAAGATGTACGAAGTGTGTATCACTAGAATAAATGTATGGAAATGTATGATATCCATGAGGGATGGATAATGCAACGGTAGACCTCACGCTATAGTACTAACGGGAGGTAGACCTCACGCTATAGTGTGGTAGACCTCAGGCTGCACCTGGGTAGGCGACATATGGCGGTAGACCTCACGCTATAGTAGCACCGATTAGAGTTCAGCCTATGTTTATACAGACATTAAGAGTTTGGTGGGATTGTTCAGGATTATATAAAAAGCTTTCGGATTTTCTCATAAATTTAAGATAGAAAACTTAGCTCATGCTGTTTATTTTTAGTTCTGAACGAACACACACGTGAGCACTGACGTCAGCTTAGAGATAAGTAGTTTGATAAGTAGATAATTATTTGAATTTTTTCCTTGGTATGATGTGATGGCACAATAAGCAAACATTATACCAAACAACTAGGACGGAGTTTATCCCTTTCTATCTTAAATTATTTCAAGTTTCGCACTTTGTTTTAATTCGGCTGGTGACATGACAAAATTGGTGTACTATGATTATTCTAGCAACCACTAGATGTCACTAGTTTGGATCAACAGACCACTTTTTTTTAATCTCTCTTTTTCCTTTTTTTTCAGCGAAGATAACAACGGAATTGCAGAAAATTTTAGAGGTTATGACTCCGGAAAAAGAAGAATAATTTCTGACTAATTGAATCTCGGCGTTAGGGATTATGACCCCGTTCCAAAAGAAGTAGAAGACCCATTTCTGGGTAACTGAATATCAACAACAAAAGTTATTGATTTCTTTCAAGTTCGTGTTCTTGGGTGTTATTCTCAATTGGCCCACCTTGTAGATTACCAAATAAAATAAAAAAACTCTAAAGGTAGAATATTCCACCAGGTGGCACTTTGCATATTGCATGGGATATGCATTATCATGAATATTGTTTACTTAATGTATGTCCAGTTATATAAATTAATAATTTTGGCGAAAAATGGTTTGATGTATAATTTTTTTTTATCTTAACCCTTGACAATTAGCACCTGTACAGCTGTGTTGTTTCGTATTAACATAAGAGTATAAATAAAAAATTAGAAAAGAAATTACAACAACCGTGAGGAACTGCAAGGGTTACGAAACTTTTGGAGAAGTTGATATTTTCGTAGTGTTAAATATTAAGGGACATCATTGTCGTACCATTCTACGAAAAGAAAGAAATCCGTAATCCAGCAATAATTCTTCAATCATTAATTTTTTTCTTATTAAATATATATATATATATATATTGGATACACAAGATACCCGCATTCTTTTTTTAAGCCGTTTCATGATGTAAGATTTTTAACGCTTTTATTCTATAGATGGAGCTGTTTCACTTGCATATTTTATGTTAGTCCATTTTTGCTGGAGAAAGATTGTTTTCCTTATAAAGCAAAGCCAAACAAAACATTTCCATGCATATTTATTTAGAACTGATTTGGGAAAGTTTATTTTTTTTATATTCAAACCATATTGCTTTTTTTAACTTTGTTCCAAATTTATTCGCACGCCAAATATACGTTCTTTTTCGCTTTATGTGATTGGTTGGTTGGTGATTACATATTATTTAATTATTATAAACGTACAACATAACACTATTAGTCTCTTTTTTTGTTGTTATACACTCGTTATTTGTTGTTTTTTTTTGTGATTTTGAGTTCATAATTAAATATTAATTTCTTTAAATTGCTTTCTAATTATCAAATGAGCATGCGCAGATGTGGCTGTTTTTTTTTTTTGATAGGGTGATTTATTTACGAATATGCTTTCATTCGAATTTAAATAGAGAGCTTCAGGGTAAAATGGAAGGTGTATTTCTATCGGAGAATCTTAGTGTTTTAAATTACACTGGATCACATAGCTGTGATGTATTCTCAGAACAACTTGCTGGATCATATAACAGTAATATTAGGCCTATTTTACTTTTAAACAATACATTCTTAATCTAGTCCCTTGGTGATATTCAAGAGACGTACACACCATAACAATTAACGGATCGTATTACTAACATTGCCCCCTCCCTCAGTGGCACAGCGGTATGTCTGCGGACTTGCAACGCTGGAATCCGGGTTTCGATACCCTTGGTGGGCAGAGCACAGATTGCCCATTGTGTAGCTTTGTGCTTGATTACAAAACAAACAATACTAACATTGTCGAACGTAATGTTGTACATGTATATGTAATAGACCTTTCCTGAATGACGTCATGACATCACGTGATCTTGTTTTTCTTCTACTATTGGACGTCAGCGCGCACATTCTAAGCAGTGAAAAATTTCCAAATGTCTTTCCACTCTTGAAGGGCGGCTACCTATTGTTTATCATTTATCAATAGAATATATAGCTGTTGTAAATTTTTTCTTAAGTAACTTTTGTTTGAACATAAAATATTTATCCTTTGCTCGGAAAAAAGTATTTTCATAAACGAAGATGCACGAGACAGACAATTCTCACTCTGTCCAAATAATGCCCGGGTGTAGCCTAGTGGTTGATGTGTCGGGCTGTGTATCGGAAAGCCCAAAGCTCGAGCTGCAGAATCTTTTTACGTTGCGAAGCGTGATGTCTGTCCGTATGTTTGTCTGCCTCCCGTTTACGGCGGTCTCTTCCCGCGCTGCGTTTGAAAAGCTGCACACGCGGGCAAAGCTCAACGTTCACTTTTGAAATGACAGGAGAACAGGCATAAATAATGTTGATACCAAATTATATTTCTCAAGCAGGATATTCTACACTAAATTGTTAGGAATTAATCGCACTATCATTCACATTTCTAAATGTGACGTAACTTAAAGAATATAAGCGTAGATTTACCGTATGTTATTGTTGAGCGGCTCTTAGCATGACTGAAATGCTCAACAATTACTTTTCGCGGTGGGCAGTATAAATAGTTGAGAGCTTTGACTCTGAGTGAAACCAAGAGTGCAACACAATTAAACTTTTTAAAGTTCATGAAATAATTTAAATTGATATATTAACTTTAAACATTTCCCGTCACTGGGGACGGGTACTTTTGCTTGTACTTCTAATGCACTCTGCATATTTCACCTGCGATACTAATGTGAAGTAGTTGGCGTTTGGAACTTTATTCCAAAGCCATTACCCATTTCAACAAACAAGGTGGGATATGATGATAATAATTTCAGCCATTAATTTTATTCTTAAAGCATCACATCACAACAACTAATGTACTTTATTTTTACGAATAGTGAAATATGATAAGTTTGTTTGTTTGTTTTTGAATTTCGCGCAAAGCTACACGAGGGCTATCTGCGCTAGCCGTCCCTAATTTAGCAGTGTAAGACTATAGGGGAAGCAGCTATTCATCACCACCCACCGCCAACTCTTAGGATACTCTTTTACCAACGAATAGTGGGATTGACCGTCACATTATAACGCCCACAAGGCTGAAAGGGCGAGCATGTTTGGTG